TGTCAAACAAATCCTGTGAGGAGGGAGCAGGCCTGCACATCTGCCACATAGCACAACGCTTGCTATGGTGGCATACACTAAGTAGAGGAGTGGGCAGTGCCGACAGGGAACCGTTTGCTTTGTGGCTTTACTAAACAAAATGCTGCACATACAATCTACTTACAAGTTTAGGAAAACAATACACAAATACAGAGTATTACAAAATATGCATACAATATACACATGCACAAGCTATCTATCCTTCCCAGCAAATAAGCATGGGCAATGTATGTGATAGGTATACACGCAACAGTTACAGTTGTGTCCAAAATTATTCAACCCCCACTGAAATTGAGTGTTTTGGCCAGTTTGACATTGCTGTTTGATCATTCAGTCATCTTGCTTACATTTACATTAAAGAGGCACTTGTAGGTCAGACAAATATAACATAACAGTTATAATGAAATAACCACAAATGTCTTTTCTGTGCTCACAGCATTATCAGTTTTATTCAACCCCCAAGTGACATTCAATCTTAGTACTTAGTACAGCATCCTTTTACAGTTATAACAGCTTTTAAACGTGAAGCATAGCTTGACACAAGTGTCTTGCAGCGATCTACGGGTATCTTCGCCCATTCTTCATGGGCAAAGGCCTCCAGTTCAGTCACATTCTTAGGCTTGCGCACTGCAACTGCTTTCTTTAAGTCCCACCAGAGGTTCTCAATCGGATTTAAGTCTGGTGACTGCGATGGCCACTCCAAAATGTTCCAGCCTTTCCTCTGCAACCATGCTCTAGTGGACTTGGAGGTATGCTTGGGATCATTGTCCTGTTGAAAGGTCCAACGTCTCCCAAGCCTCAGGTGTGTGACGGACTGCATCACGTTTCCATCCAATATCTCCTGGTACTGAAGAGAATTCATGGTACCTTGCACACGCTGAAGCTTCCCTGTACCTGCAGAAGCAAAAACAGCCCCAAAGCATGATTGACCCTCCACCATGCTTCACAGTAGGCAAGGTGTTCTTTTCATCATAGGCCTTGTTCTTCCTCCTCCAAACATAGCGTTGATCCATGGGCCCAAACAGTTCTAATTTTGTTTCATCAGTCCACAGAACACTATCCCACAACTTTTGTGGTTTGTCCACATGGCTTTTGGCATACTGCAGTCGACTCTTCTTATTCTTTGGAGACAGCAAGGGGGTACGCCTGGGAGTTCTGGCACGGAGGCCTTCATTACGCAGTGTGCGTCTTATTGTCTGGGCTGAAACTTCTGTACCCACATCTGACAAATCTTTTCTCAGTTCCTCAGCAGTCACACGGGGACTTCTCTCCACTCTACGCTTCAGGTAGCGCACAGCAGTCGAAGTCACATCTTCTTTCTGCCACGACCAGGTAGCGTTTCAACAGTGCCCTTTGCCTTGAATTTGCGAATGATGCTTCCTAAGGTGTCTCTTGGTTGTTTAACATCTTTGCAATCTTCTTATAGCCATTGCCCTTCCTGTGAAGAGAAATCACCTCTTCTCTTGTCTTCCTGGACCATTCTCTTGCCTTCACCATGTTTGTAACCACACCAGTAAATGTCTAGAAGGAGCTGAGTATCACAGTCATTTTAAAGCTGCCTAATTGGTGCTTATTATGCTTGATTGCTGCTCGGTGACATCCACAGGTGTTTTCAATACCTGATGGAAAGCACCTGTATGAACCTCTGTTCTTCAGAGTGGTAGTCTTTAAGGGTTGAATAATTGTGGCAATGAAGAAACCACATAAGAACCATTTACTACTGTATTACATAAACAATTGATGTCATTTTAGTTGCATTTGGGTAGTTACAACAGGATTTGATTCTGAATACAATTCCAAATGTACACTATAGTCCCTAAACCCCTTTACAGCATTGGGGGTTGAATAATTTTGGACACAACTGTACTTAACTTGATTCTTCTTGGTGATGGAGTCTTCTTTCTTTTTCCCTCCCCTTACTTCTTGCCAATACCATTTCCTGTAGCTTGAGCTCTATGAACCATTCCAGTGTGTTCATTAGCACATGAGTAGGGGAGGCCTAGCTTCTAAAAACAATACATGGTCTTAAAATGCTATTCTATTCCGTGTGTTTTTATGCTATAAAAGTTACTAAAATAGCCATAGCAACACATTTTTTCGAGCAAATTCAGGACAAGTTCCAAATTTTACTTTGCGTCTTTTAAGGTTCTTTGCGGCAAAAGCAAGGAAACATAAACACCCCTGTAGTATATTAATGTTTTTTACTAAACAAAAAATGCTGCACATAAAAAATAAAATTTTAGGAAAACAATACATGAGTGTTACAAAATATACATACAATATGCACATGCACAAGCTATCTATCCTTCCCAGCAAATTAGCACAGACAGTGTATACACCAGTTACTTAACTTGGTTCTTCATGGTGATGGAGTCTTCTCCCTTTTATCCAGGTTCTTTTACAGACAGATACTTGCTTCTCAAAGTCCTGTGAAAACTACTCCTCTTTGTCCTCAGCACATGACTGTGTTCAAATCCTTTGCACCCCCCCCCCCCCCACACACACACACACACACCCACTTCCTGCCAACATTACTTCCTATAGCATGAGCTCCATGAACCAGTCAAATAAGTAAATTAGCATATGAATAGGGGAAGGCTAGCTTCTGGAAACAATACATTTTAAGTGAAACATGTTATTTTAGATATTTATGCTATACAAAAACACTAAAATAGCCATAGCAACACATTCCACCTCTTGAGCAATGGACATTTAGCAGTTTTCCGCAGCTTTATAAGCCTCGGTCTAGAAAAGAGCAAAATAAACCCCCCATATTGTAAATGGGAGGGAAAAAAATTCCTTTTGCCCCGCCCCATATGCTCAGACTTTGTCCCTGGACAAGATGCAATGTTCCTTTTAAGCAGATCTAGCAATATCCTTGACAATCTGTGACACATAGATGGAAGGAAAATTCCATACGAAAATACATTTTCCTTCAGGCTCAGATGAAAGTCCACTTTAATTCAGCCATCTTCAGGAAATCATCTGCATCTTTCTCATGTTCTCGTCTCAACGTCTGGTCAGCCTCATCTTATCTGGCTTGGTTTGCTCTACCTCTTGATGTTTATTACCTTAAAAGAGTAAAAAAACAAGGCAGATTACATGTTTCTTCCAACTGTGCCAAAACACTTAGCTCACTGCTCACATTTCTCTCTCTGCCCATTTGGGACTGCAATACCATTGTAGGGTGAGCACTCTTGCCTTGTAACAGTCTAACGGCAAGGCATAGATTTCAGAGGAAAGAATAAATCTGCATCCCTCTCTGTGTTGTCCTAGGAACACTGGCTTGCTGTTGGTCAGTCTTCACAGCATAGCACTCTCTAGCAATTTGCCCCAGTCTATGACAACAAAGACATATAATGTGACTACATTTAATGTCCCCAGCCACTTGCTTCCACCTCTTAAGCAACGCTGGTGTAGGAATCCCATCTATTTCCTCTCTTGGACCTCCAGTTGAAGTAAGTCAGTCCACATTCGTCTTCTGGAGATCATAGGTCTTGCCATCCTATTATATGGTTCAGCTTGGCCATCTCTATTTGAGCTGATCAGATTCCCAGTTTCCGGCTTATGAGAAGTAACAGTGGCACATGTCCTACCTCTACATTCAGGCTTTGGGCCTTTGTCCTTTGTAAGGGCATCATTAGACATGTTCATGAGAGCTGCACACTGCTCATTCAGATCTTCAGCTTTTTCTACAGTGCTTTAAAAAACACTTCAAAGCCACAGCAGGTTTGACTTTAAGTGTTCTACTTTCTAAATCTCTTGCCTTGCTTGCAGTGTCTTGAAAACACTCAGTAGCCACTGCAAGCTGCTCTTTCAATAAGTCTCGTTCTACCTCTGCTTTTTTTTCTCATTTCAGATTCTGTCTGTAGAGCATAAAGGAAATGCCAACCAAATACAGCTACTAAATAAATAATTAAATAAAGTTTTTCAGCGGTAAAAATAACCACAATTATAATCAACAACACCCGTGAAAAGTGTGTAATAAAAAAAAAAAGTAAATATAAACAGTCCGAAGAATCTACTCTTCTCTAATAATAAATCTTAAATTTTCTGGGTTTTTTCGGTGACTTGAATTGTGCTGAACCTCCACCACAAGTACACACTCACCAGACTCAGTTGCTGTCTAAATAAATAGAACAGCAGGAAATGCTTTGTTATAAATTGAAGCTCCTCCGCAGGAAAAAAGCACTCCAAACAAATTGATCTCTCCAACAATACAGCTACTGCCCGCATCTGCAAAATCCAAGACTCCATCACCCCAAGCTCTGTTGACAGGAGAAGCATGCCTAGCACGATTCCTTGCAACAGACATCCATTGACTGTCTCTGGCCAAGGTAGACAGGTTGCACGCTTCCTCCTGGATACCAGAAACCTCTGCAGCCTTGTTTTTCCTAAACAGCTTACGCAGCATATTTCTTAGCACAAGCAACAGAGAACACTACAGAAAACAGGACTGCTTCAACTGAGCTCAAATCCCGGATGGGCCCCCCAATTGTTTTGCGTTGTGTCTTATAATCCTTTTTGCAGTAAAAACAAGGAAGCATAAAAAAAACTCTGTAGTGTGTTAATGTTTGCTTTACTAAACTAAAATGTTGCACATACAAACTACTTCCATTTTTAGGAAAACAATAGCCGACATACAGAATATTACACAATATGCACATGTACAAGCTATCTATCCTTCCCAGCAAATAACATGGACAATGCATGCAAGAGGGATACACTAAAAGTTACTTAATTCCAACATTCTGTGCGTTACATACTCCTGATCCCTGCACTGTATGCTTTACACACCCCTGACCTCTGCACTCTGCACATTACAGACTCCTGCACTATATACACTATATTGTCCATTTTGATGCTTCTGACCAAAGACCTCTTTGCCTCAACAGTTGCTGGTGCTAAGCTCTCTCTGTTTTCAGTGCAAACAAAAGCATATATAATGGAAACATCCCATTTTTTACAAGTTACCAGGGGCGGACTGACCATTTGGAAACTCGGGCACTGCCCGAGGGCCCGGGGTCAGTAGGGGGCCCCATGAGATTACCCTGGTACCTTTTTTAATAGGCTTTTTTAGGTTTGGGCAAGGACACAGGGGCCCCATGATCCCCTATTGCCCGGGGGCCCCATGAGTTGTCAGTCCGCCCCTGCAAGTTACTATGTTGAGGATTAATAAAGTCTGTGAGACATTCGCTTGTGGCATAACACACATATTTTATGGGTACAAAGAAGTGGCATATGTGTGCTGCTGTGCATACTGTGAGTAGGCATTCGTTTTATTTAACTATGCCCTTTAAGCCCCTGCCACTGTTGACACAATTTGAAAGAAAACACCCACTGTTTGATGCAGTGCCACGTAATTACTCTCCTTGGATTCCCCCAGGTCTTAGGTCTAGCAACAACCTTTGGTTTAAGAGGTTATTTTGAGGTTGATAGTTTGTAATTAGGTTTAAGGGAATGGTTAAAAACTAGTGATGAGTCAAAGTGATATGGGTTCAGTTCAAACAGGATTTGGTAAACCTCAAGGAAGTTCAGATGCTGAACCTGAAACCTATTGAAATCAATCAGAGCTGAATCTGTCAAATTAAAAATGCCCATTTTCTGGGTTAATAGACAAGGAGGTGTCATTAATAACATGAGGGGTGGATACTGGTGAACATGTACCAATGCAAAAAAAAAAAAAAATTCATCCAGTTGCAATGATTTTTTTTAAATATATGCTTGAAGACCCTTAATCTGAGCCATCAGCCTGGCTGGCCAGGTACTCCTGAACCATACCAGGCCAGATGCCATCAACATGTGGGGGGGTCCTTGCCAAGGGAGACCCCCTTGGCAAAGCATTTTGTCCTATATTTATGAGGATAAGGGCTTCTTCCCCTCAACCCCTGCTCAGTGGTTGTGGGGGTTTGTGGACAGGGAGCCAGTCAGAATCTGGAAGCCCCCTTTAGTAATAAGTGGTCACCAGATGCCTCCTATCCCCTCCATGTAAATGAGTATGGAATGAATACCCCAACTCATCCACTCAAAAAAAGTTCTAACCTAGAAATAAAGAGACCTAAACATTTGAAAAGTCCTTTATAAAAAAAAAAAAAAAACCAAAAATATCTCTCTCAGATAATTTCATCGTCAATCACAATGCCCGCCTTCCATGAACTCCCATGGCCAAAAAAAAAAAATGTGATAACCCGGCATCTGTGACTAATCCTGATGGTAATACTAGCTGAATAAAAGTTGTCATCAGCTATATAAAGGAATAGGGCAGGGATATTGGTGATCAAATATGGCCATGACCATAAGTAGCACAAGGAGCCAATTAGTTGTGCTGAAGTGGAAGGAGAATGCTGGTAGGAGGAGACAGCAGAGAGACAGAGAGATGATCTCTCGGCGCTATATAAGTACCTGAAATAAATAAATAATAATAATCTCATCGGTCTGCTGGTTCTCTTTTCACTGTCCAGTTACAAGTTTGAGGGAAGAGACTAAACCTGTAATTGTAACATAGCTGCAGCAGAGAAAGAACAGATCCCCTGCTCTGCGGGACACATTGTGCTGTCTGGTAGAGCTGTGCAAATCTTAGAACTGGATGTGGAGAAATACAGATCCTTTGAAGGGTAAACCAGCTCCCTTTTATGTGTTTTACACAGTATGCATTTAGTGCTTTACCTGGAGTGTAGCTATAAATTTTTGGGTTACTTCTAAGTCCAGAGCCAAACACAGATAGTTTTCCGCCACAAATATTATACATTGTAAAGCCGGATGCAGCTCTTCCCATCCAGTTACTGATCTAATATGAATGTGTGCTGCAACCCTTAATAACACAACAGGATTGTGTGCCGTTTAGCCGTATTGAGCCCTTCAGTTAATTGAAGACAGTTCCGTGATGTTGATCAATTGCACATTGCATGACAGTCGATAGCGGCACTTATTCTGCTAATTAACTTGATTAATGGTAAAGACTCCTATTGATACTCTGTTCTCCTGCCCATTGGTGTTATCTTGTAGCGTAGTTACTGGTATTTGTGAACACAACAGCCCTTATGTATGAAAGTGTTTCAAAGAAAAGTGCTTCCTTTATGTGAAGCAGCTAGAAAATGATCTTGGTGATATTGATTATCGCCATGAAATGTTGTCAAAGTGGAAACTCTTAGTTTTACTCATTGAGCTGCTTAGGGGAAATTTGTTTGAAAAAAACGTTCTACTTTTGTTGTATTTCTTTAAAGTTGGGATTGCACCGATACCATTTTTTTACTGGCGAGTACCAATACCTTGAGGGTGAATTTGAGCCTATATAAAATTATTGGGCTTAAATTGCATTACAAAGAATTGTATGTGATTTGAACAGGAATGCTCTTTAGGGAATGTGGTTTCCTGCACCACCACTCCCTGTGTGAGCCCAGGTTTGTCATAGTGACTTTGAGCCTGAGTTCACACACGGTGTGGGAAAGCTCCCTGCATGGAGGGTTCCACCAGCTCTGGCTCCTGATGCAACTATGGACATCAGCAGTTGCGGCTTGAGCTCCCCCTGCCTCTCCCATGGCTTTCTCTCCCCCCGAGCCTCCAGCAGTTACAGCCATCCACTGGACCCCTGGACCTGGACCCCTTCCCAATCTCCCCTTGTCCCGATGTACCAGATTGCTGATCCCCGCTGTCAGACGATGAAAAGCCACTTCAGAGGTCCAGGGATTTGAAATCCCCATGGCATCCTCTCCTTGCAGTGTAGGCTAGAGAGCTTCTGATTGGTCAGCACTGTTACACTTTGTTTTTTACATTTCTTCAGTTACTTCCTGGTTTCTGGCCTAGGCCAGAATGATGTAATACATCCCAGGAGTCTTCATGGCAATTTTCTTTCTTTTATTTGGAGGGGGGGGCTTTCTCAGCTAAGCACACCCTCTTGCCTGCAAGCCTGAGCTAATGGCAGATGGATTCCAGGAAGTAAATGCTACATGAATCATCTACCCTTACTCAAGATGGCTCCAGCTAGAAATGCAAGGAGGGTCTTTTTCAGAGTGATTTCTCAACAAAATAAAGCATGAAGACATGGATGGATAAGTGAGTTTGCTTTGGATTAAACATGAATTAAATAGCCTCTTCAGTTTGTGATGCTCAGATACAGTTTAACCTCCCTGGCGGTATTCCCAAGTGTAGCTCGGGGTAAAGTTTCAGCACCTCAAGCGGTAACCCCGAGCTACACTCGGGAAGACTTTGCAGCGCTGCTCCGGGATCTCTTCTTCACTTACCTTGTCCTGCGCTCCCGCGATGTCTCTCCTGCAGTGTCCCCGGCAATGTCCTCCAGCAGATGCCGGCATCTGTCTTCTGGGTTCCGTTCCCTGCGACGACGGGACGTACGGGGACGGAACAGTGAAAGTTGTAAAAGTGACATTCGCTAAATACACTAAAATCACATAGTATAACATTACTGTATCAAACCATTTCACATACATTTTGTCCCGAGTGCTTTGTCCTGCGCCCTGCCTGCATTTTTACTGTTCTTTCTGCCTGGAAACTGAGAAATGTCCATGGCGTCTAAAAAGCGTCCCTTTAGGTCAAAATTAGAACCACTTGCACAATTAAGTGATAATGATTCGTGGGGGAAATTCATCATCAGACACTGAAAACGATTTTGCGACTTTGCTCAGTGATGTGTGAACTTGGCACTATATTTCAAATTTCAGTGTTTTTGGTTTGATTATATTATTGAATTACATTTATTATTATTGAATTATTATTTTTTATGATTATTTATTAAATTATAATTTATGATTTTGTGTTTCAAATTTTTTCATATCCAGAATGTTTACTAGACTCTTGTTCGGACAGATTTCAGTGAGTTATTCCTAAAAATTACAGGCCTACAATAAAAAAAATACATATTTCCATGCAAAAAAATGTACCGCTTTGAGCACAGAAATATGGACATAATCAGACCGCTAGGGAGGTTACTTTCGCTTTCATTAAGAGTGCCGTATTTATGGGTGCCTGCATAAAGTTTCTATGTTCTCTCTGTACTTGTGGTGGGTTTTAGCCTCACTGCAAAGTATGAGTTTTACTTCTAGAGTTCAGCTTTAAGGCTAGGTTCACACTTATGCAGGTTGCAACTGATGCATTTTCTCAGTGCATTTTGCATTCATGTTTTTAATGTGTTTTTTATGCATTTTGCTGTTTTATTTTGGGTTTGTTTAATGTTGCTAAAGGGAGGTGCCTGTTATTATGCAGGAAGCACATCAATAATGCATCTGCATGCATTTTTGATGTGGATGTGAACTAGATCCCCAGGAAATCATGTTAAATGGACTGAGGTGCATTTGTGCAAACTGGAAAACGCACTGAACCTAGGGTCAAAAAAAAAAAAAAAAAAGCATAAGCATAAAGCATAATTTTATAAACTTACAAAAATTACAATAAAATTGTCCAAAGGCCAGGATTGTTATTTCCTTAAGGATGGTACAGAGCGCACCCCTTTTATGCATTTTTTATGTTTTGTTTTTCAGATTGAGGTCTTTGATCAGTCAAGGTTATGAAGACAGGATTGTAATTTCCCATGACATACACACTAAGAACCGACTGGTGAAGTATGGCGGTCACGGCTACTCGCATATCCTCAATAACATCGTTCCTAAAATGTTGTTAAGAGGAATATCCCAGGAAAGTATAGACAAGATACTACTGGGGAATCCCAAAAGGTGGCTGACCTTTAAATAAAGACATAAATGGGTGCTAAGAAATAATGGTAGATGTAAACTGATGATTATGATCAGACACGTGAATCACACAGAATCACACAAATTACAAGAGCAGATCTATTATGGACTTGAATGTATCTCACACCCTCAGTTATCCAGAGAGTACCCAGCAGGCCAACTGTATGCCTTCCATTAATCATGTAGATTCAGAATGGTGTGAAACTGCCAATCACTGGGAAGAAAGATGTGGGGAAAGTTGACAGCTAAACATTTAGCCTTACAGAGATTGGACAAAATTATGGAAACACCAGGTAAGAAAATGAAATTCTTACCTAACAGGATGTTGGACCACCTTTGGCGTCCAAGACAGCTTGAATTCTCCTGGAAATAGACAAATGGAAGTCTTGATGGTGGATAATGGAATCTGATTCCACTTTTCATGCAAAAATCATTCCAGTTCTCGCAGAGATGTCAGAGGCAGAACATGAGTCTAAACCTTATTCTCCAAAATTGACCATTGTGGCTTTATGATATTGAGGTCCGATGACTATGGCACCCTGGGAAGGTACAAGACTTCATCTGCTTGCTCGTCAAACCACATTTTGACAACATCAGCTGTGAACTGAAGCATTATCATCTTGGTAAATGATAAAAACACATCCAATGATTGGGAACAGAATGAAGCTCGATTCATAGGACCATATTACAGTTTTCCAACCAGTTATGGGTGCGGCACCACTCTCTCCTCTTCTGAGCATTAATGTCGATCACTAGCAATTTGGCAATTTCAGCTCGCCTGTGAATATTTTGTTTATGGAGTTTCCTCTGCACAGTTTTTGTGGACATGGGCTTTGGAAGACTGAGATTGAGCTCTGCAGTCACTTTTTGCAGCAGTTGTTTTCTTATTCTAGGTTGCAATCCTGCACAATTAAATCAAAAACTCTATAACTCCCCAAAGAAAAGTAAAACTTTTACCCTTGAAAGTGCAAATGTCATAAACCTTTTCTATAACCTTCCCATGCCCTCAAATCCTACCCCGCAATCTCAAAAATGTCCATAATAAAGTCCAAAAATCCAAAATTACAAAAATCCAAAAGATAGTCCACACTCTCCAATCTTCCAACTGTGAAAATGTCTGATTCTTCACTCCAATCCAAAATACCTCAAAAAATATAAACTAAATATAGTGCATTATCTTTCACACTATAATATATGTGATATCATGCAAAAACACTAGTGATAAAATATAATAAATTGGAATCAACACGTGAAGTGAAAATCCACACAACTCCACTAGTGATCTTGTGAGATAACCACTTCAATACGTGAAATGCCACAAATACACAATTAGTGATCAGTGAAAAAAAAGTGCAAGATCAAACAAGTGCCACCACTCTGCGTTTAGGATAATATACTATTACCCTCTTTCAACTTGCACAGGCGTTGTGTAAATCCCCATATGCCAGATGGTTTTCCTCTAATGGGAGTATGCAGATAGCTTTCTTCTCATGGGAGTAAACAGTGGAATCCCCCGTTCCTCATACAGCAATGGGCATTGGGATCCCCGTTCCTCACAGGGCAGAGAAGAGCACACTCAGTGGAGTAATATGTATAAAAACACAAATTTATTTACCGCTTACATTTCAAAAAGTCACTTCCGACTTTTTCACAAGGGAAAAGTCGGAAGTGACGAAACGCGTCAAGGTCGTGACGTCAGACGCAAAACCGGAAAGAGCAGCGTGGCCATTTTGGATATGGTCTAAACATGGGACGGACTGAATTTAGGATGGACGGTACTTTTTGAAATGTAAGCGGTAAATAAATTTGTGTTTTTATACATATTACTCCACTGATTGTGCTCTTCTCTGCCCTGTGAGGAACGGGGATCCCAATGCCCATTGCTTAATGAGGAACGGGGGATTCCACTGTTTACTCCTATAAGAAGAAAGCTATCTGCATACTCCCATTAGAGGAAAACCATCTGGCATATGGGGATTTACACAACGCCTGTGCAAGCTGAAAGAGGGTAATAGTATATTATCCTAAACGCAGAGTGGTGGCACTTATTTGATCTTGCACTTTTTTTTTCACTGATCGCTAATTGTGTATTTGTGGCATTTCACGTATTGAAGTGGTTATCTCACAAGATCACTAGTGGAGTTGTGTGGATTTTCACTTCACGTGTTGATTCCAAATTATTATATTTTATCACTAGTGTTTTTGCATGATATCACATATATTATAGTGTGAAAGATAATGCACTATATTTAGTTTATATTTTTTGAGGTATTTTGGATTGGAGTGAAGAATCGGACATTTTCACAGTTGGAAGATTGGAGAGTGTGGACTATCTTTTGGATTTTTGTAATTTTGGATTTTTGGACTTTATTATGGACATTTTTGAGATTGCGGGGTAGGATTTGAGGGTATGGGAAGGTTATAGAAAAGGTTTATGACAATCCTGCACAATGTCCTTTTGCCTCTTTGGGTCAGTTGACCCTGGCAACCGCGCTTATGCTTATCAGACGGCATTTTCCTGGAAACTGTATATTCCGCCATTACCTTTGATACTGTATCTCACGACACGGCAAATAAATTGGTAACTTCAGTAACAGAGGCACCAACTAAGTGGCGCCAACAACTTGCCCTTTTTGAAGCTCAGTAAGCTCTGACATGACTCCATATTACTAGCAGCACATGCAGTGAATGACGAAAGTGAAGCTTCCCACCTAGCTAGGTGTCTCATCACACAGCGGAAGAAACATATTGTTACTTTCACAAGGCCAAACATATTGTTACTTTCACACCTGCAAATCATGTAATGTTTCCATGTTTTGTAAAACCCCTGTATATATTCTAATTTGGAACACATGGGTAATGCTTTTGGCTGGGTTCACACATATCTGCAGCATTGGAGTTAAATACTTTACCACAATGTAAATTAACATGCATTATGTCCGTTAGTATGCCGCAGTGCCACTCATTTTGAATGACACCCCAGTGCCCAAACATAACACGGCACCAATGCACACATGTTGCAATGCACCGCAACACACAACAACGTCCTACCATCAGTTGTGGTGTGCTGCATTGCTAAAACTGTTGCATGTCCTCTTTCTTGGCAGACCACTCAGTTGAATGGGATGCCTTAACCCAGTGCAAACGAATGTGCAAACAACGCAGAGTAGCGTGCATGCCTTAGAGCACCGCAGCAGAAAAATGTGAGCCCAGCCTTACTGTGATAAGTAGGTCTCCTATTATATTATAGCACTGGTGGTTTCTGAGTAGTTGGAGGGAGCCTAATACCTGTGCAGTACCTTGATGGCACCCATGGTAACTAATATTTCAAATAATTAAAAGTTTGAATAATCAAATGAATGTTGTCCTTATTTAATATTTCTAATGGAAAATGGATTCTTTTAATCTTTCTGTTTTTTTCTGTTAAATTATCGTCATCATAAAATTTGTATTCCACGGTAAGGCGGTGAATAACTTTAAGGGGGAACTTTACTCTGTCAGTCAACATAAACTATTTTAGTGAAGCATTAGTAAATAAATAGGAAGGTACACTCACCAGCCACTTTATTAGATACACTTGCTCAATTTCTTGGTAACACAAATTGCTAATCAGCCAATCACATGGCAGCAACTCAATCCATTTAGGCATGTAGACGTGGTGAAGATGAATTGCTGAAGTTCAAGCTGAGCATCAGAATGGGGAAGAAAGGGGATTTAAGTGACTTTGAACGTGGCATGGTTGTTGGTGCCAGACGGGCTGGTCTGAGTATTTCAAAAACTGCTGATCTACTGGGATTTTTAGGCACAACCATTTCTAGGGTTTACAGAGAATGGTCCGAAAAAGAGAAAATTTCCAGTGAGCGGCAGTTATGTAGATGAAAATGCATTGTTGATGTCAGAGGTCAGAGGAGAATGCTCAGACAGCATGCTGCAACATTCATATGGTAGGGTCAGAATTTGGCATAAACAACATAAAAGCATGGATCCATCCTGCCTTGTATCAATGGTTCAGGCTGGTGGTGTATGGGTGTGGGGCAGCCATTCACCACCCTAGGCACCCTGGGGCACCTTCTGGTTTGTTCAGGGGTGCCTTGACAAAATGCGTAAAAATTGCCCCAAATTGCCTAAAATATTGTGGGGAGGGGACCAGGCCTGCCTTTTTGTTACACAACGCCATAGTTTTTCATTGTGCAACATTACAACCTTGGGCACCATGTGGGCCAGCCACCAGTGTCCTAACAACTGCTGGTGTCATCGGTTGATAAGGAGGACATCTGGCACCTGCACAGCATCCTTGTTTGATCCCCCACCCCCTCTATCAGCACTGGGGTCATGTTAGCTGTAGGGTGGAGAGAAAATGAGGAAGAACAAATGCTGGAATACTAGTGAGTACCAGTGTGCAGAAGTGTATTTGCTTTGCAAGAATAAATTATTTCTAATGTTGGGTGTCCTACGTGTGCGGATGCTATTGCAGTATGTAAAACTCTTAGGGGTGCCTCAAAAATTGTGCATCGTTTTAAAGGGTGCCTTGACTAGAAAAAGGTTGAGAAACACTGGTGTGGGGGATATTGTCTCGGTACTAGCAAGGTGTACCTAATAAAGTGGCCAGTGAGTGTATATTTGCTTGTTTTAAAGTGGCTGTAAAGGCTCAGAGTTTTTTATATTTATTCTAAGCATGAAGGTAAAAACCTTCAAAAAGTGCATCAGCCCACCCTACTACTGACCTAAACCTCATCATGATCCAGCGATGTGCACAAGAGCCTCGGCTCTCCGAGGACTCTCCCTCCTCCTTGGCTGAGACAGTAGCGGGAGCTAATAGCAATCACAGCAAGTGAGCCAATGAGGAGAGAGAGGGGCGGGGCCAAACCACAATGGGACACGCTGAGCAGCAGCTCAGGAGGAAGCCTGCTTGGGTCCCCCCATAGCTTGCTCTGGGGGCACTCAGCAGGAGGGAGGGGCCAGGAGTACTGGCGGGGGACCCAAGAAGAGGAGTATTAGGGC